AAAAAAAAAAAAAAAAAAATCGGCACTACAATCAGTGGTGTTTAGGCCCATGCATTCTTGGTCCATAGTAATCTTCATGAAATCTTGGTAACCAGTGGTGGTGTCCCTGTGGTACCACAGTTAATTTTCTCTTCATTTTATTACCTGAACGAAGAAGCTTTCTTTCGCTAGTAACGAACTCGTTAACTTCTTCGTTGTTCGTCTTCGCCCTTGAAAGATGTTCCTGCTGAATATATATAAAAAAAAATAAAGATTAATTGGTGAGAATAAGATAGCCAATATATATATTGTAATGAAACAAACAAGTTCAGTTACTCTGTGTTTGTCTGTAGGATCATTCTGCCTATTCAGTATAGAACCCTGTAGCAACCTTGTACCTTCATGAGAAAAACTCAAAAAAATTACAAAATAATATCAATCACAAATTTATTAGCAACAAGTAGATACTCATACATGTGCCATATAATTTAAGAAAACAATAATAATAATAATAATAATAATAATAATAATAATAATAATAATAAAACTTCATAAATTGACATACAAGTACCTTGAGACTGATGAATCACAATTGTCAAAAGCAGCAAATAAGCCTTAACCCATATCCTCATTCTTAAATGGGGGCAATTTTTTTATTTTTTTTTTTATTTTTTTTTATTTTTTTTTAAATACACAGCTAAGAGACAATTGAATTAATTGATAGAGAATGAATTAAAGAACTATTGTTTTTGAGTTATCTTAAATACTCAGAATGCTATTTGACTATAAACATTAAAGCTCTTGAATATGGTCTTTAAGGCAAAGGAGCTTCTTGCTATTATATATCTCCACCTCTCACACACACACACACACTAGAGACTACATAAATGGGTGTGGGACCCATATTGTATCTTGGTTCATGGACATGGCACGTTGGTGAATGCCACTTGGACCTATGATCCTTGTTTAAATTTTTTGTCCTTTTCTAGAAAGAAAAAAAGTGGCAATTGAAAAATGTGAAATTTGAGGGAGTTGTTAAGAAATAAAAAGGTTGATAATATATTTTTATTTTATGGTGTTACAAAGTCATATAGTTATGGGGGAACAGAACATAACTGTCCTCAGGGAATTAAGACTCCATTTTCTTGAAATTGGGGAGTTTTAAGTGTAAAGTACCTGGGAACTAGACAACATGTTAGTAAAAGAAGAGTACTGCAAAAGCGCTCTTTGAAATTTGGGCAGCTGTACATAACTAACTCTCAATAACTACTCCCCGTAAACCCTTTTCCCCCAATTTCTTGCCCTAGCCACTACAAAAAAACACTACAATTTCAACGACAAAAATTTTCGTTGGAAATTTCAATGAATATTCCAACAAACTTAATTTTATGTTGGAATAAGTGTTGGATAGTTGAGGAATTCCAACGAATTTTTTCCGTTGGAATAGCTGTAGGAATTTATTTCCATAGGATTTTCTGTTGGATATTTGCTATTCCAATGGCCATTTTTCCAACGGATTTTTATACGTTGGAATATCCGTTGGAATAGCTATTCCAACGAAAATATAAAAAATTCCAATGGAAAATTTCCGTTGGAATGTAAGAGTTTTTTTTGTAGTGAGCCGTCAGTCAACCGTGTGAGCCTTACCTCCTGCGGCCAAAGCCCCATAATTCTGGCGAACATCTGGCTCTTCTCGGGCTCAGCAGCGTGTTGTGGCGCTCTCCCGTCTCTACTCCTCGCGTGGTTCCGATCTTGCTCCGATTGCCATGGCAGGCGAGAAAAGGTGGGCGACGATTGCGGCTGTTCTGGCCGACGTCGCGGGCGTCCTTGCAGCGGTCGATGGTGGCGGTCTAGCCGTGGTCCCCATCTTGCCCGATCTTCTCTGGTGTTTGGAAGGTGGGGCCCTCCGGCATCAGTTGTGTGGTGGTGCGGCGGCTCCGGTGTACGCGTGGGGGGAGGGGGACACTTGATGCGAATGTGGGTTTCGACCCCCGAAGAAGAGAAGGGTCGAGGGCCGAGAAGGCCGAGAAAAAGGCAAAACCGCGAGAAGGAGGCCGTGGCAACGCATCTTTCGAGGCAAACGAGTTGAGCGGGATACACAATTCTTCATCAGGGGGACTGTGGAGTGGTCCGGCCTGGGTTGGGTCTGTGGAGTACATGGAGGCGCTATCGAGCTTTGTGGTCCGGATCTAGTTAGCCCATTAGGGGATATCTGGATCCTTTGTGTTTGGGCCGTGGATCTCGTGGTTTCTCGGTATTTCACGATGGGTGTTTGCTTGGGGTGTGGTGGATCTAGGCTTTCCCGTCGGATGGGGAGGGCTTTACTTTTTTCGCTTTGTTTCATTTTAAGATTTTGTTGTTTCTGTGTTCATGTTTGTTTAGTTTGTTAGTGTGCGCTTGTGTTTTTCTCCGTTGAGGACCGTGTATTCTCCCATCGAGGAGCATGTATTCTCCCGCCGGGGAGCGTGTATTCTCCATTAGTTGAGTTCTTTGTTTTTGTGTGTTTTTGTAGTGTTTGTGTTGTAGGCTACCACCTGGTGGTAGGCCTCCCTTTTCCGGCTAGTTAGCCGGTTGTAAGTACGTATTTTTTATATATAAATGTATCGTTGGAAAAAATAAAAAATAAAAAATTGGGCAACTATGAGGGCTGAAATTAATCAAACCCACACTGAATTGAAATTGGATTTTGTCTACATCTTTATATAGTATTTGTTGGCGGGTGGTTTCGTGAACAAGAGTACGAAACAACGGGTGGTAGTATGCTATGTTGGGGTTGGGATTAGTGTTTTATGTAAGATGAATGAAGACATAAACGATGACGTGAAAGAAAATAGGAACAACCAGGCAGTTGACAAATTGGATGTTGCGTTGATACACTCGCACCGAGATTTATTTAGAAATTTGGGCAGTTCTCGTACCTCATTATTGCATAATGTTCGCAGTCATATTCACCCTATTTCCGAGTGAATTTGTCGTGTCTTTGCCAAGCCCTGCGTTTCTCACAATTTATGGACACACTAAAATACATTATTCTTGAAACACGTGGCGGACTCTCAGGGTTCAGCTACATGCAGAGTGTCGTGTGTCCTTACAATTCGCTCAAGTGACTTATCTCTTTGGGCGGTGCGAACCGGTTTTGGCCGACAACCATTTTCACACAAATTTTAGCTAAGAGCGGTATAAAGGAACCCCATTCTCTGGTAGCTTATGTGAGGAGGTAACCCTTCTACGCCAGAGTGACGTTCTTTGGTAGCTGATATGAGGAGGTAACCCTTCTATGCCAGAGTGATGTTGGCCTGATGCACTTATGGCCTGGGGTGAGATTGGCATGGACATAAGACGTCATCGAGGACGACATCTTTGTCCAAGCTGTACCCTTAAGCCTTGTGTTGGCATCATTTTTGGAGGATTCGGGATTTTTCAATGTAGATTTATTGTCTATGTCATTGTTGTTTAGTAGGCTTATTCTAAATCGACAATTTTAGGTACAACAGAAGGCCCCAGGTCCTTGGGACTAGATAATGAACTTCGACTGGTCGTAGGAAGCTATTTAAGTTCTTACCGATCTGGTGATGAACTTTGATTGGGAAGTTGATGCCGATGTTAGGCGCCAAAATTTAGTGGAGGTGGGTTCTTAAGAGGTCAACCGTTCATTGTTGGGAATAAAAAGCCTTTTATTTGAGGAGATAAAGCTTGCGTCTTCTGGACATTATTAAGGGTAATTATGTAGGTTCCTTTTAATTATGAGAGTGGTTTTGCGGAAAAAAAAGTGTCCCTCAAATATCGGCCTTCCACATGTTAGATTTTGAATGGTTGGCGTGTGAAGTGTCGTCTCTTTTTTGAAATTTTCTCCTCGGCATATTAAATGATAATGGTGCGTGTACCCAGGAGGATATCTAAGGGTACGCATATACAAGGGAAGAGGGATATTTCATTTTTCCATTGATAGATATTGTTTGATAAAGAAGTCTTCTTCTTCATTATTGCTTCATTCTTTTCTTTAGGGTGCACAATTTACCTTTTAGGATCACGTTGTCCCAGCATGAAAGTTAGTTCAAGTTGGCGTATCGAGCTTACGCCAACACCACACAAAAGTTAGTTTGAGTTGGTGTATTGGGCTTATGCCGTCACTAAGCAAAAGTTAGTTTAAGTGAACGGATCAGGCTTATGTCGTCACCATGCGAAAGTTAGTTTTGCAGATCAGGTTTATGGTGCTTCTCCTCGTGAAAGTTAAGAATCCATACAAGTTTGGCCTTACACCGCTTCTTCGCGCAAAAGTTAGCGACTTTTAACGAACTGGGCGTAAGCTGATACTCTTCTTAATGTTAATTGTAGCTGAACTGGGTCATTCTGTTTCCCTATGAAATCATAGCTTTATGCGGATTAGGCTTACGCCATTTCGCCGCAAGGTTAAAATTTTAGGGGAATTAGGCGCGTACCGTTTTTTAAGTTTTAGACGGATATGTGCCAATGTTTCGCAAACTTTAGTTTGAGTGGGTAGATTGGGCTTGCACCATTTCTACCCGCGGAAGTTATTAAGCCTTTTAAAGAATTCTTAGGAGGATTAGGCTTAGGTTGTTCTTCTGCTTATCAAAGTGAGTTAGGAACTTAGTTGGTATCCACACAATGTTGATAGTCCTCGTACAGAAAAGAGGATCCACATTTAAACTCGAACGACTTGAAGTTTTGGACCGACCGATGTGATGTTTGCCGATACAAAGTCTTATTCTGACCCCTGGCCTTGGGCGCTGGTTGGAGTTTGTTGCGATGTTGATAGCTTTTTTAGCATGACTGAGGTCTTCGATTGCAAGGGTGTTGGAGGAGGATTTTCTTGAGATTTGCGCCTTCTCAGCGCCATTTTTTTTCTTTTATAATAGACTGGTTATCCTTATAAACATTTTGGTAGGTGTAGGCATATCACACATTGCAACTCAAACGCGTACAAAAAGTGAGATTTAGTCATGGCACGTTTCATTTTTTAGACCTTACAAAAATGACTGTTGAGATAATGTACAAGAAAATATATGGAGATTGATTGTATATGTTTTAGAGTGTCGATATGTTTGTCTTGTGTTGTTTCGTTTGAGGCATGTTACGCTATCTCAGAACTAGGATGTATCGACGAGGTTCTTTCCAACGATCTAAGATGTGATGGTGGGGATATCTTAGGGTGTTGGTTGATCTTGATGGTTGATCTCGTTAGGTGGAGGTTACTCATCAAGATTCCCTCTATCAGGCCTCCGACTCTCGTCTTGGCCTAGGCTAGTACGTTTGATCTTTAGATGATCATGATAAAAAATAGGATCGTGGTGGCCTGAACATGTAGGTTAGTTCGTTTGATCTTTAGATGATCATGATAAAAAATAGGATCGTGGTGGCCTGAACATGTAGGTTGGTCACTGAATCGAACGTCTTACGATTTAATGGTAGGAAAGTGAAAAGTCGCAAAGGAAAAACCTTCTTAGAACCACCCTTAGATAGTCATGCTACTTTGTAGTCGTTATTTTAGGACTAATTGCCCAACTCTCTCAACGTTCTTGTTGAGGGTGAGCTAATCAATCCGCACTCTTGTTGAAAGTGGGCTAATATGTAAGAATATGTGGCCCGAAAGCATTGGGCTCACATTTAATTA